ACAAAGAATTGTCTTCTTTTGTGGCAACCTTTATTTTTCGGTGATCTTTTGTACCGGCAAACAATATTTTCGGTAACCTAGAAATGTTTGTTAGTATTTCACATAGGATTTCTACAATATTTTTGATAAATTGTTATTGCATTTACATAATGTTGATTTTGTTATAAATTTGCTTTGGAAATAAAATTAAGTCATTTTTGTATGTATTTGAATTAATCATGTCACCATTTTTTGCTATTGATATTTTAATGGAGTTACTACATATATTTTTATGTAGTATTATGTAGCTGAATTGCTATGGAATCTATTATGACACATTTTTTCTGCAACGGAAGTAGGCCATGATAAATTTACTATGAAATATTTGTTGCAGAATTATGTCGTCGTAAATTCACTACGGAATATTTGCTACGCTATTATCGGTAGTGGATTTTCTATGGAAATTAGCTACGGGGTTAGTTTGTAGTTAACTTGCAACAGATTAACTACAGATTGGGTCGTAGTTAATTTGCTACGGACTTGCTATGGAAAAAATTGTAGTTAATTTGCTACGCCATTGCTACAGGTATAGTTCATAGCTATTTTGCTACAGAATACGTTTGTTGCAAATTCCGTTGTGAAGGTCCTACAGATTCCGTAACAAACCTTTACTAATGAAGAATTTTTCTATAGAATGGTTACGTAGCAAATTATGTCTCTAATCATGTTTAACTACGGAATATCATGTTTTAACTACGAAATTTTTCCGTAGTTATTTCGGCTTTTTCTTGTACTGTACCATCGTTTTGGTAGTGACTAAGAAGATGATTATTATTCCAACCCTAGTGGTCATATCATCTCGATTCCAACTAAGATAAGTATGTTACATGGTTCAGAGAACCAAGTTCGATGTAGCATCTGACTTGAGCCAGTAGATGGAAGTAAAAGATAATCGGAGTGACGAATAGAAGTATTGCGATCATTGTTAAAGTAAGAAGCTTGTAGCTAGAAATTCTACATGCTAGAATGTGATTATATCAAATTAGAACATGAAAGAAGGTTTCATACATTCTGGAATTTGACTCAAAAAGACCTGAGTCTAAGCGTTGCATCATACGACTTGAGGTCATTATAACATGACCTATCGGCCTATTACGATAATCAAAGTAAAGACCTTATATTAAGTTAAGTCTGTTTAAGTAGAAGCAACAGTCTCCAATAAGTATTGATTTTTGTAAATCAAAGGTTACGATTGAAAGTCCAACATAGAATAAAGAGCGAGTGCAAGATTGCGCAGCGCCAACAGTCAAGAGGTCCAAAAGTTAGATACTCAAGGGACAAAGGAGTTATGATTGTTACCTAGGCTGAAAAGATAACATATGGAGTCTTTATACAAGCCCTGTTTCGTTGACGATTCCAGGACGTAATCATCCTAAGGGGGAAATAGTTGTAACCCCCGCAGATTCAAGCTAGTCAATTTAGAGACAATAAACATTAAAAATGACCTTTTGATAGAAGATTATTTAGAATAAATAATCATAACCAAGTTATATTATATGTCACAAGGATTTCGTACATATAAAGAACGCTGAAATTTGAGTTATAGCGAAGAAGTTATGACCCGTCGAAGTTTTACGGCTAAACCGGCACGACACCGCATAACATAAAAAGTGAATTTTTGATAAACTAATTTTTTAGCCTTAGCGATCTAAACAAAAGTCATAGTAGACGTTAAAACGAAATCGTTCATATAGAGAACGTCCAAATCTGACTTCGTATGAGGAAGTTGTGAGTTTTCCAAGATTTGACATAGTAGTATGCAGCCCATAAATCGAATTTCAGATCGATCAATTGTTAGCCAACACAACCTAAATGAGAATCGAAGATCTCGTTAATAGGAGCTCAACGATATAAAGACAGTCGAAAACGGACGTCGGATGAGCAAGTTATAAATTTTTAACGGACTTTATCTGTCTAAGTGTGTTAAAATATAACTTTAAAAATAAATTCAAAACTAGATGACGGAGTACAAACAAAAGTTGTAGATCACGTCGCTACCTACGCGTGAATATAAAGAACGTAAAAAATGGAGCTCATATGCGAAAGTTACGGAATTTAGAAGTTAATTAAATTATGAGAGGATGTGAGGCTGACACGTGGCACGATCCTGGCCCTCCTTTTCTCCCCACTGCTTCGCTTCGAATAGTGACACCTGCCCCCTCGTACGCGCAGTGTAGGGCTTCGGACGCCCCGCGTACTGAGTACGTCCAGCGTATGCGCAGCCCCCCAGCCTATAAATAGAAGTGTTTTCTTCTTCACACCTTTCCAATTCTTTCTCTCTCAAACACTCTTCTTAGCCCCTCCCATTCCCTAGTACTTCCCAAGTGCTAGACGCGAGTCCCTAAGCACTAGAAGGCTCCGAGAAGAAGTGCTTTTGGCTCAGAAGTTCTTCCCCCGCAGAGCCCGACTTCTAGCCAAACACCATTGTAAGTGAGTTATGCTTACCCTACTTTAAGTATAACTTATGTTTAAGTTCATTATCGTTATTATGAACCTATAAACAATATATTTGCTAAGTATTATAAATTATACAAAGTGTTATTATAATAACTTTTAACTGCTCGCGGTACAGGGAATCTGGTTTAAAGGGCCGAATAAGGTTGTTGTCAGAACATCTTAAATGCCAAAATGGTCCTGCCCTCCAGTGTTTAGAGTCTATCCCATGTGTGTAAATAGTAGTTGAAAAGTATTGTTTAACACTTCTAAAACAATATTGCTCATAGACCTCGAGTTAATGATAAATCTAGACTAATAATTAGTCGCAATAAATATTAGACTAAAATCTATTGATAATGACACTAGGTTTCATCGAAGGAAAATAAAATTGTTAGAAGCAAAGGGCTGCCCGAGTTTGGAGTCATCACTTTAACAAGTGAGTGCATAGTTACTTTCATCTTACACATAGATATGAAGTATTTAATATAAACTACGCGTTATGTGTGCATATTATCTGTGTTCTTGATATCTATGCTGGATGAACAAAATATACATGTTTTATTCGATTTAAACTGTATACATATTTTATACCTATAATTATGATGGGGAAAGATGGGTAGATGAATTATGAGAAATAAGAGATGATATAGATGATGAGTGGTGAAAGATGATGAGAAGCCTTGAATTAAACGATGATCCAGTCATCTAGCAGAGTATAGATGATGACCATGGACTATTCTAGACAGTCCAGTGGAACGCTAGCAGGCTCGCAACCAGTAGGTGTTCATATTATCTGTGTTCTTGATATCTATGTTGGATGAACAAAATATACATGTTTTATTCGATTTAAACTGTATACACATTTTATACCTATAATTAGGATGGGGAAAGATGGGTAGATGAATGATGAGAAATAAGAGATGATATAGATGATGAGTGGTGAAAGATGATGAGAAGCCTTGAATTAAACGATGATCCAGTCATCTAGCAGAGTATAGATGATGACCATGGACTATTCTATACAGTCCCGTGGAACGCTAGCAGGCTCGCAACCAGTAGGTGTTCTTCAACTACGTCTTCACCAGATGTACTCTAAAAACCCTGGAATATATGGACTTAGTGCCTTACAGATGAACGTTGGAAGCTATGGATTTAGTACCCTATAGATGGATATTCGCAGCTATGGACTTAGCGCCTAACACATAACATTGGCAACTATGTACTTAGTGTCTGTTAGATAAACACTGGCAGTGATGGCCTTCGTGCCTGATTCCTTAGGTCAATCCTTATGAATGAATGAAGAATATATGATTCTTAGGGTAGATCCTTAAGAATAAAGAAGATAATGGGGATGGGAAGTTGGGTTAATTGTTTGATGATTAAACATAATAATTATATTATTGTGGGTTGAAAACCAAATGTACTCACTAGGTTTCCCAACCTGAGCCACTCAGTTTAATTGTATCACACACAGGTGTCGATATGAAGCTACATTACACTGAGAGATTAACGGAGATGTAAATCATTAGTGTAAATGAATGTAAGGTCTGTTTATGCTTATGTTTCTGTATTGACGATGACATCCCAATGTTTTAATATAAAAAAATACATTTCTTCGGAAATGCTTTGATATATTATTATCATGTTTTTCTGGGAACAAATTACGCAATATTATTCTTTAAAATGGATACTCTGATTTTTAAATAAGCATAAATAAAATTTTTAAAATGACCCTGAATTTCGAGATTTCACACCATCCTTGCTTTTCAGCACTCTCAGGTTCTTGCCTCAGGAACCGATTAACTTTTCATATCATTTCCTCTACATTAACCCATTTTCGCCCTACCAGCTTTCGAAATAGCTCCCCTTCCAGGAGCCCATAAGTTAACGCCGCTATGATCACAGGGTCATCCCGGGTTGGCATCTTCCTACTGATCTCATTAAACCTTTTAAAGTATGCTTTATTTGAGTCTCCTTCACGCTGCCGACAAGCGAATATCGTGTGCACTTGTTGCTGGAACCTTCGTTACTGTATGAAACAGTTGCAAAATTTTTGACACAGCTCTTCGAAGGTCCTTATACTTCGAGGTGGTAAGCTAGCAAGCCAATATCGGGCAGATCCATCTAAAGTTCCCGCGAAAAACAGGCTCCATAGTTTTGGATCAATTGGTATCATTTTATTGCCCACTGGAAGTTGGATACATGATCATCTGGATCTCCGGTACCATCGTAGGGTGGCACCCTCAGCCCTTTCAACCCTTTGCGAATATGTGTTTCGTTAACGTCATCCGTAAAAGGAGAGCGGAAATTTAGGTTCTTGAAGGCTTGGTTGTACTGCTTTGCTTCGATTACTTCTTGGTACTTTTCTTGTCTTTTTATGAGCGTCTTCTGCATTGGATGGTCGACCTGTATTTCTCTCCTTCTTGCTTGATCTTTTTTTGCGAGGGTTTGACTCATTTCCTTCTTGGTCAGAGTCTTCCGTTTGGGTTTGTGTGTACCGAAACTCGATCCCATTCTTTCTCTTTCTAGAGTTGTCTTTTTCTTTGCAATTTCCTCATAGCCCTAAAGCTTTTGAATGCTTCAAATTCTTCTAACTTCATTTCTTTTGTCGTTTTACCTTGCAGATTCATTCCCTCATCGCTGATAATCTTTCCGGCGACTACGTTCTGGTGTCTCACCACAGTAGCAACTTGCAGGGTTGCTTCTGGGCCTTCATGGTTTTGTATGCTCGCGAACGGACTTGCTCCAATTGCTGGTGTGATGGCGCTAGCTATTTGTTGCAAAGTCCCACGGATGACACCACTTGATGTAGCATCGGGTCTGTCTTCCATCTTTCACCCTTGGATTAGTTTTATCCGAGCAAATAGATTGACCTGAAGAATATACACAAACCGTAAGCTGGTCGGCCGGGATGAGATCTCGGACAACGCTCTGACAGTTAAGTTAGTGAAAGGTTATATTATCGATCGTAGGAGAGTTAAACAAGTGGAATAAGTATGACTTCTGTATGCGTACCTCCATGACGATTCAGGTTGCCTATTTATAACGAAGGAGGAAGAGGTAATGAGTTCTTCCCGTATTGACCATATCATGTCATCTTATCGTATTTACGGCATTATGCTCGAATGTACGACTAGTTGTACTTTGTATGTCGTTACACAGCTGTTATATGGCTATGACAAGATCTATCAGTCGTGTATCCTCGTACAGACTGCATTCTCATGGTTTCGATGTACTATTTCCACTGTTTCGACGTCACTTTTGTACTTTCTCGTTAGTCTTTATTTTCCTTTCAAGTCTTCATGCCAGTTCGGTATATAACTGGGCAACTTCGAGACATATGGGGCGGGTGACTTCGAGCGACCTTGCAACATGCTGGTTCGGTATATTTTGGGAAGGATATAGGTATTTTCGGACTATATCTATAATGCTTGTGTTTCTGGGCTAAGCATTAATGATGATGTAATAGTCTACGTCAATCATTGTAACTCGTTTTAAAGTAATAAAGATGAATTACTTGAATATTACGTGAATTATGTGCTTTTGTGTGCTTATTACTTGTTTATAATAATATAGTAAATAAATGATAAAAATAAGCATCAAAATAAAATGTTAGATAAACCCGATATCTATGAAGAAAGTTGTAGTGGTCGTGACAAGGATTTCGGAGATATAAAGAACGCCGAAATCCGAGTTTTAACGAAGAAGTTATGGTCTGTCGAAGTTTCGCGACAGAACCGGCACGACACTGCGTAACGTAAATAGTGAATTTATGATAGAAGAATTTTTAGCCCTAGCGATCTGAACGAAAGTCGTAGTGTTCGTTAAACCGAGAGCGTGCATAAAAAGAACGCCCAAATCTGACTTCGTATGAGGAAGTTATGATTTTTCTAAGTTTCGGATCGGCAGTGCACAGCCCGAAGTTCGAATATTGGATTAGTCGATTTGTGGCCGACACAACCTAAACTAGAATCAAAGATCTCGTTAATAGTAGCGCAACGGTAAAAAGACAGACAAAAACGGACATGGGATGAAGAAGTTATGAATTTTTAACGGATTTTCCTGTCCCGGACTGTTAAAAATAGATTCAAAATTAGCCGACGAAGTCTACACAAAAGTTGTAGAGTACATTCTGACCTACGCGTGGATATAAAGAACGTCAAAAACGGAGCTCGTATGTGAAAGTTATGAACTTTTGAAGTCGGGATGGAAATTTGCGAGTTGGGTGCGAGGGGTACGCCCTGCGTTCCGGAGTACGCCCTGCGTACGAGAAGAGAACGCCCCGCGTTTTGACATTTTATGTGGTTCCGAAGAGGTCCACCATGCTCCACCAAATGACGGACACATGCCCCTTACGCGCAGCGTACCACCGAGGGTACGCCCAGCATACTGCGAGGCCTTGGCCTGTAAAAGGGTTGCGAGGGCAGCTCGTTTTCTTTTCCATTCTCCAACTCTCTTTCACTCTTTACTCTCTCTCTCTCTCTCTCAAGCCTTCCAAAACACCACCGAAGCCCAGGAAACCTCCCTAGCATTAGACGAAAGCCCCGGAGCACCTGAAGGCTCCGAGAAAAAGAGTTTTTCGGTTTGAAACTCTGCCCGCGCAGAGCCCGGTTTTCAAGAAAACTTCCCGGTTTCGTCAAACAATATTGTTTTAAGAAGCGAAGTGTTGTCTGAATCACTCCTTATCAGGTGAGTGTATAGTCACTTTCATTTACATAGATATAAAGTATTTTATAAAAATTACGTGCTATGTGTATGTATATATTATATGTTTACTTGGGATCTATTTTGGATAAAAGGTCTGAACCTCTTATTTCCATATCTGAATTCGTTTTCCTTTAGATCTAGACTTTTTCTTTCAAATCTAAACTTTTCTTCCAGATCTGACCCTTTATCCTTTTGATCTAGACTTTCTCACTTCAGATCTAAACTTTTCAGATCTACACTGTATATGTATGTTTTATACTTTGAGATCTATGCTGTATGAAAGATTTAAACTTTGTTTTCCAGATCTGAACTGTATATGCATTTTATATCTACAAATGTTATGGGTAAAACATGGGTATATGAAATAGTTGGGGTGTGATGAAATAAAATGACGAGAGGCCTCGATATTGACGTTGATCCAGTCATCTAGCGGAGTATTGATGACGACCACGGACTTTTCTAGGAAGTCCAGTGGAACGCTAGCAGGCTCGCAACCTGTAGGTGTTTGCGAACGATGTGTTCACCGGTGTACTCCATCCCCCCATGGTTGCCTTACGGGCACTGATGGCTGAGGAATCCCCTTAGTAGTAGTGTCCATCCCGATGAAATTCCTTAGGATAGGTCCCTTATGATAGATGCTTTAGGGACGTAAGGTGAGGATAACAGGAACGGGTAATCAGGTTTAATGATTGTTGAAAATAATAAACTTATTTATTGTGGGTTGAAAACCCTATATGCTCACCAGGCTCCCCAGCCTGACCCACTCAGTTTCTTGTATTACAGGTAGTGGCAAAAGTATAGTTGGATGACTTGACGAGAGATTATGGATTTTAGGCCAGTAGAAAACAAATGGAATGTTGTAAGGCCTATGTTGTTTTGAGGCCAGATTGTGTTTTGTGGTCTATGATGTTTTTGGTTTATGCTTATGATCTGTATCGATGATTGACATCCTGAGTTTTTGTAATGTAATGAAAATACATTTCTTTAAGAAATGCTTTGATAAATTTTTATCATATTTTGTTTTGGGAACAAATTCCGCAACACTTTTCTTAAGAAGTTACTATGATTTTTATTAAAAAGCATAAACGAGATCGGTCTTTTCTGGCCGTAAAATGGGGATGTCACAGTTGGTATCAGAGCATTAGTTTAAGCAAACTAGGAATTTGTAGGATTTCTAGACTTAAACTTAGAATGCTAAGCGATGATTGTTAGTTGAGTGTCTACCATATTATAGACACGAGCACTAGTTTATTTTAGGAAAGATGCCTAAAATGCTTTTATGTGCTAAATGCTTTATGCTCTCCTTATGTGCTATTATATGTTCGGATCTATGGTCTGTTTCCGACCGGATCTGGAAACTTTATGTGTTCAGGATTCTAAGCGTTCGATTACGATATTAGACCTAGCATGTAACGTTTCGGAGTCATAAGGAGAAGTTAAACGTCTATCGTGAATAAGGATCCAAATTCACCTAGTTTAGTGTATAGATCAAAATGGCAAGAACCCGAAGCGGAGCTGGAAATGTGAATGAAAACAGGAATCAGCAGCCTCGTCCCCAAGTGATTGAGCAGGTGCCGATAGTTGAAGTTGCACCTGAGCCGGTCACAATGGCTGGAGTTCAAGCCATGATTCGGGATATGATGGCTAAACAGAAGGAAGAAATGAGACAACTGTTGCTGAATAACAGAAATGAACCTTCGATGCCTGTTGAACAACCGGAGCTGAGTGACGGAGAGTCTAAAGAATGGGATAACAGCCGCACTGTCAGTCAAGTTGAACCCCCAGTGGTGAGAAGGAATGACCCGAAGAGGGAAATCGACAGAGATGGGCGTATGTATAAGAACTTCTTGGGTGCCAAACCACCAAGTCATTCCGGAAACCCAAAGCCTGTGGAGATCATGGACGGGATCTCCGAAATGGAGATGGTATTTGAAAGCTGCAACTGTAGTGATAAGCAGAAAACCGTCTTTGCAGTTCGACAACTGAAGACCGGAGTCTTGAGCTGGTGGAAATTGTTGGCGGATACGATGCCACGAGGAGAAGCTTTGAAGATGTCTTGGGAAGCGTTCATGGAACAGCTGAAGATGCAGTACTGCTCCGAGATAGATCTGATCGATCTAACAATGAGTTCCAAAACTTGAAGAAGGGGAAAATGAGCGTTAATAACTATGCTACTGCGTTTAGTGAGAAGATGAAGCTATTTCCTTACTTGGTGCCGACTGAACTCGCCAAGATAGAGAAATTTGCTAACGGATTGCCATCAGACTTTGGACCAATAGTCAAAATGGCAAACACATTGAAGGCAGCCGTTAGAGCAGCCAAGAATGTTGAGACCCAGTTAAAAGAAAGGGGTCTGGAGAAAACTGAGGTAGGTGAGAAGAGGAAGTTTGAGGGATCTACGAGATCCAACAAGAAAAGTAAATGCTCGAAGTCTGGTTCAAGAGGAGGGGGAGGCGTAGCCAAATGGTGCGAAAAGTGAAAAAAGAAGCACCATGGGAAATGTGACGGGGAGGTCACTTGTTTTAAATGTGGGAAGCCTGGGCACTATACCAACGAGTGCACGTTCAACAAGAAAGTTTGTTATGGTTGTAATGAGGAAGGGCACCTTTTGAGGGACTGCCCGAAGAAGAAGGAGGCAGCAAGGCCTAATGTCCCATTGAAGCCAAAAGCTAGAGCTTTCCAGATGACACTCAAAGCCGCGAAGGAAGCAACGGACGTCGCTTCAGGTACCTTTCTTATAAATGGATTACCTGCCAATATATTGTTTGATTTTGGAGCAAATTACTCCTTTATATCACATAAATTTGGCGGAAGACTAGCATTGCCTATAGAAAAACTTGATAATGCTCTAGTTGTAGAACTTGCCAGTGGCAAATTCATACCTGTTAGCAATTGCATTAGGAATATCGGCATCGACTTGAACAGAAACGAATTCCACGAGGAGTTGTTACCTATTGAGCTGAATGGTTTCAGTATCGTACTAGGAATGGATTGGTTTAGCGCCAATGATGCTTAGATACTATGCAAAAAAAAAGATAGTAAGGGTAAACCCGCCTGGAAAAGAGTCATTTGTGGTGTATGGGGACAAACGTAGAGTGAATTCTGGAATCATTTCCCTAATGAA